AATGGTGTTGATTCCCATTGTTATTGTTTACTAATTTTCATGAATCAGAATCCAAATTAATTTGATTACTAAAATGCCCTGCACATTTTCACCACAGCACATATATAATTCTCAAATTGGCTAAGGAGACCAAACTAAACCGGTAGCAAACTAGTAAGAGGCCAGTTCAATGATAATGTTAATAACACCTTTGTCAAGAGCCAATTTCAAACGAAAAAAATAAACTCCAATAAATATATATCTTTCACCTACGTAACTAGTAAACAATCAAACAATAATAACCTGCATAATCTTCATACGATTAAATACATAATCTTCATACTACCAAAAAACAGATATATAATTGTTTTGTGATGAATGTGAAGATAGAAGATAGAAGAAGAAGATAGATAGATAGAATGATTTACATAGCACAAGGCGTTGCTGCTGCTTATGGGAGGTTGTGTCTGCAACGATAATGTGAAAAAGAAGTTGGAGCGTCTTGGAACTTCTTGGCGTGAGTTTTTTTTTTTAATTTAGGGTTTGGGGTTTTTTGGAATTATGGTAAAGTAGTCAAGGTATTTTTGGAAGTTATTAAGATAAAATAGGAATGGGAATCGTATCGACTACTCCCCCCTAGGTGATCTGATACCCAGTTTTGAGGGGATGTGATTACGGATTTTGAGGTGGGGCCCACTTATTTTTTCATTCCTGATTGCAAGTAAACACAAGGGAAGTCAGGAATGGAAATCATTCCCTTTCCTCCCATACCCATTACTGATACGTAAACATGCCCTCAATTTGCGAAACAAATAGGTTATAAACTGAGGCATTAGCTAGGGCAACATCATCTTCTTCAAGACATCATCTCCTCTGCAACCCAATGAGAGAAAAAAAAACATTGTCACATCAACAGACACCTGTCATTAACACCTGTTAATTTCGATCAATTTATTGTGTGTGTGACTTTATCAAAAAGAAAATTGTTGTGTGCCCTTATCAAAAAGAAAAACGCTTGTGTGCCCTGTAACCGCCTCTTCCCCACGTTTAGGAAAATGAAAGAAAACGAAACACGAACTGTTTCGCCAACCCCCCACCACCACCCCCAAAACGGTGCCTGTGCCTCCACAATTCTTTCTTCTACAACCCGTCCCTGCTACTTCTCTCAATCCAATCCCATCCCACACACAAACATGGACAGCTTCTCAAATTTACCCGAGCCCCTCCTCGTCACAATAATCTCCTTCTTGCCCTTCAAAGAAGCAGCAAGAACCTCTCTTCTCTCCAAGCGTTGGCGCCACCTTTGGCGTTCCACCCAAACCATCGACTTCAACGCGCGTTTCTTCATCAACGTCGACGCAAGTAGAGAGGTGCAGAGACAAGTCTTCCTTGATTTTGTGCGGCACTGGATCGCAAACTACCAACAAGCCACTATAAGCAAATTCTCTCTCGCACTCTCTCAGCCGAGAAATTCCCAAATGGTCGTGGAAAATTGCATCACCTTTTCTCTTGCGCGCAACGTCAAACACCTGGTGCTTGATTTTTCTGACCCCACATGGAATGAAGATGACTTTGAAGGTCCTGCCGATCCGACGTCGTATGATTTGCCTCTCTCTGTTTATGGCCATGAACAAGTTCTTGAATCTCTGACTCTGTTTTCTTGCAAGTTTAATCCTTCTGGGTTCAAGAATTTTGGGTTGCTTAAACAAGTTTCGTTGGGTTGGGTTGAAGTGGGAGCATGCACTTTCAAGGCTTTGCTTGTGAACTGTGGGTGTCTTGAGAGTTTGAGCCTGAAACACTGTTGGAGCATGGAGAACTTCCTTCGTGTTGGTGGAAGGGGCTTAAAGCTGAAAACTTTGGTGGTTTATAAGTGCAGGTTTTATTATCCTTGCTTTGCAGTTGAGGCACCAAATCTGAGTTGCTTGAGGTACACTGGGACCCTGCCAAGATTTGATATATCCAGAAATAATAGAGGCTTGGATGAGGTGGAGCTTGACTTTGGGCTTGAGTCTGTGTGCAGTTGTTCCATGGCTGATCGCCTCTATCAGCTCTTCTTTGAAGTCTTCCCCATGAGGGCATTGACTGTTTGCACCTACATACTTCAGGTACTCAATTTCCCTCTGCAACTTTGGATCTCACTTTAACGTTTGGCTATTTGGGACCTTTTATCATACACTTGTGCTGCGCTTTTTGTGTGTGGTGGAGAACAGAAAAGGAAAGTGTCTTGAGTTTAATGTATCAGGTGTTTATATTTCCGTAGGCGTATATGCATGTTGTTGATTAGTGTAATCAATCTGCTTTAGTGTTAATTATGTTGTTATCTCGTAAACTAGACGTCTCTAGAAGATCTTTTAGTTACTTATTTATCACGTTTCATGTTTACACGTGACTAGATTAATTCTTATAACTTTATACATTACATCAATTGCGACTGAACCGAATAAAACCGAACTGTACCCACCACTAATCTGCCGTGACTCTCTGAGTATTGATATTTTGTACATCCACATTTAACTCTCACATCAAGTAAGCAAAAAAAAAAAAAATAATTAAAAATAATCTCCATGAAAATCTGCTATAAATTGCATGCATTTACAAGCTTGACGTCGTCCTAACTAATAATTATTTGTGTGCAGGTTGTTAGCATGGGAGAGGATTTCATTGGTATGGAGCCGTCTTTTCCCGTTACACACTTGACATTGAAAACAGCAATGCATGACTATGAACAAGTCGGCATCCGATATTTCTTGAATAGCTGTCCTCATTTGGAAACTCTTGAGATCCAATTAGGCCCCGGCAGAATTTTTCATGATGTGGGTAATCTTTAAATTTTAATTACAAAGTACGTAGTCTTTTAATGAACTGCAAGTTACATATATACATTGATCTCTTCTTCAGGAATATGAAGCTCCATATAGTGGACTGGATCCTCATGAACTGTGGATCCGCCATCCAGTAGTTTTCTTGTGCGTGACTCACACTTTGAGAGAGGTTGAGATCAAGGGTTTCAAGGGGACGCCTAATGAGATTTACGTGCTGAACTATCTGGTCACCTATGGCCGTGTCATGGAAAAGCTTACTGTGATTACTTCGGGGGAAATGAGCAATCGCGGAAACCCAACAGTTTATCGGAATATTGCCAAACAAGCGCTTATGATCGAAAGTGCTTCGCAAAATCTGCTCTTCACGGTTCTTTAAATGACGAATGACTTGATCAACCTGTTGTTTGTATGCCTCTAGTTATAGGAATACTTCGTGTGTTTTGGAGGAGAATTCTTGTGTAGGGACTGTCTCATACGGCAACAGCCCTTCATTATTGGAGTGAGTCCCTGCCCAAGAATCACTTGTTTTCTGAAAGGTCGAAGATGTCTAAATCAAATTAAGATTTGGACAACGACTAATACATGAGCAGATGTAGTAATGAATGACTAATGCGAACTATTTCTTTTGTTGTATTTTCATTAGTGAAATATTGGTGCTTTCTATCAAATCATGGAGTTGATGTTTGGTGACATTAGTTTTGCATTTATAGCATGTTAGATTATCTAAAATAATGGATAAATTTATGTATCGGATATCCTCTATGGGCGCACAAAAATGATTATGTTCAATTTTTTAATCGCTTGTAAGAAAAATAATAATATGATTTAAACTATTTTAAAAATGAATATTTTTTTAACAGAATTGGATGCTATATAAAAATGAGTAGTGTCGACAAAATTGAATTTTCCATTGATGGGTACTTGGGATCCTCCTCAATACCAAAAGCAGTTTTTTGGGGTCAAAAAAAGAGACTGGAAAAGAAAGTTGCTTTTGTAATGATTCAATTATTCCTCTCTATCTCCTGAGTGATCTCTAAAATATGAAGTTCACCAATCAATCCTCTAGCTCATCAAAGTCCCACTGCACAAAGTCAAGCTACAAGTTGCCCAATATCCCATCACATTAATTTTGATTCAGTTTCTCCTCATTTCCTCATTTCATGTCACCTCCAAAGTATGGCATTTTCAACGTGTTGCACGCATTACAGGCATCATTAGGTCTACGCCTACTTGCCTGGGAAAAGCACAAGTTTTTTCTTTATTTGTTTAAGGCTTAATTGTTATAAGAATTCCTTGAAACTGTAATCAAATTACACACTGGACCCCTGAAACTTTAAGTGACCTACCATGCTCTAATGTTTTCTGTCTTATATTGTGCTTCACCATCGAAAAAGGTTAAAAATTAACAATAGGACCCACTTTTGATTAACGTGAATCCATTTCAATCTTGTTGTTTTTAAGGATTATTAAAATAAAGAAAATAAAAGTAAAATCTACATGGCAATATTCATTAATTGACATAGTATGACCATATCAACTGCCATATAAAGTGGTTACTCTTATCTAATTCTAAAATTAAAAAAAAAAAACCAATTGGCACTCGAGGGCTAGTACATAAAATAAATCAATGTAATTATTCATGGGGTAAAATTAGTTAGATATGCTCTTCATTTGGGGTTTCACATTTGGTGTCTATGAAAGAAAGCAGACAATAGTGTTGAGCGCAATATAGTACCTCTGTGTGTCATAGGAACATATTTTGTATTTTTTTTTGTCAAGGGTACAGAAAATATACTCTCAAAGTTTGTGACGTGCCACCACAAAAACGAATAGGTAAGTGTTTTTTTGCTTGGGTAGTTCTAATGGACAGGACTTGTCAGGTCCAAAAGCTCCAAGTACGGCCCAGAGTTGTTATAATTTATAAATCACTTCCAACTGAAACAAGTAACTACCCTAATTTAGGTGGAAATCAAGTATGAGCACGAAGAAATGTTATGCCTTATTAGACCGTCTTGAAACTTGATTCACTTACAAATGACATTAAGGGAAGTTTCACTTGTTCGAGTGGTACTATACCTTCTCCGCATATTCGGTCTAAAGGACATAGACGGTAAAGAGAGCAACCCAACAATAATATGGTAGACATGAGTAAAACTTCCCCAATGACCTGAGTCATCTGAAAAGCTGAAACATGTAGAGTGTTGATTTTATTATCAAACGTTTAAGGAGAATAGTTAGATGATCTAAAATAATTGATAAATTTATGTATCGGATATCCTCTATGGACTAGTAAAGAGCTTGTACATAGTTTAAATGCATCTGATGTCAGAGTTGAAGTTTTTTCTTTAATTGTTTAAGGCTTAATTGTTATAAGCATCCCTTAAAATTATGATCAAATTACATATTGACCCCTGAAACTTTAAGTGACCTACCGTGCTTTATTGACCGATGTTTTCTGTCTCATATTGTGCTCCACCATAAAAGAAAGATTAAAAATTAACAATAGGACCCACTTTTTATTAACGTGAATCCATTTGAATAGACTACATGTATGTGTTTTGTTCTTTGACAAATATTTTTTTTCACTGTTATCTACGTATTTAAAGTAAAATGTAGAGAATGGTAAAACATTCAAAATATTAGAAAATGTCATTGGTTAATACAAACATTAAGAATTGAAATTATTTATTAAATGAGGATAATATGGTAAATTCACACTTTTTTATATTAATTTTTGTTATAATTAAAAACAAAATCAGATAATGAATCCTATTTTTATGGAACACAACTACCCATGATCTAATTCTAAATAAATAAATAAAAACCCATTGGCACCTAGGGGCTAGTACATAAAATAATGGAATTTTCAAACTCTTAAATAAATCACTGTAATTATTCATGGGGTAAAATTAGTCAGAAGCAGACAATAGTGTTGAGCACAATATAGTACCTCTGTGTGTCATAGGTATATATGTTGTTGTATTTGGAAGAAAATATACTTCCAAAGTTTGTGACGTGCCACCACAAAAACGAATAGGTAAGTTCTTTTTTGCTTGGGTAGGTCCTAATGGACAGGACTTGTCAGGTCCAAAATCTCCAAGTACGGCCCAGAGTTGTTGTAATTTATAAATCACTTCGAACCGAAACAAGTAAGTACCCTAATTTAGGTGGAAATCAAGTATTAGTATGAAGAAATGTTATGCCTTATTAGACCGTCTTGAAACTTGATTCACTTACAAATGACATTAATTACCGTGAAACAAATATAATCTCTCTCCTATTGGTCATGACAAGAGTGCCAAAGATCTTGCATATGTTTGGAATACGGAAAATGTTAGGCATATCACATTGTGTATCACCTCTCTAATAGAGGTGCGCCTCATTATATTGATGGGCTCCACTTTTATTATAGAAATGGTTCACAATATGGTAGATAAATGTAATAAGCCTAGCATTACCGGATTGTATCGCTGCCAAAAGAAGTATGTGGATTTTTGTATTTACGTGTTTAGTGCTTTAGCGCGAAAGCAGTTAGTTAAATTTGTTAATTAATTTGACGGCGTGCTATAGATTTCTTTTTACACCGTTGCCTAACTAAATCTCTTTTCATATTAATTGATGAAAACGGATGGTAGAACACATCAAAATTTAAATAATTAGTTAAATAAATTGTTTATCTTTACAATATTGCTATTATACATACACCAAAAAGAATTCTAAATACTTTTTTTTTCTTTGTATCGTGAAAATTGGTTGCTTATTTTTCTTTGGTGTCAAGTACACATGTAATTAAGATAAAATCAATTTGTCATGCATTCCCCCACATGTAACGAAAAATTTGAAAAAAGCTTTTAGAATCTAATTTTTCTAGAAATAACTCTATTTTTCTTTTTCATTTTTTTCCCATAAAAATCGCACCTAGTGACACAACACAAGTGAAACGTTGTGCCTGTATGTAACCGCTCTTCGTCCTCTATAAAAACAAGATTCTTCTTTAGCACAAACACAGAGACAAACATGGACCGGCTCTCATCTTTGCCTGAGCCTCTCCTTCTCATCATAATCTCACTTTTGTCCTTCAAAGAAGCCATAAGAACCTCCGTTTTATCCACCCGTTGGCGTCACCTTTGGCGTTCAACCGCAAACATCGAGTTCAACGAGCATTTCTATGCGAACGTCGATGCAAGTAGAGAAATTCAGAGACAACTTTTCATTGATTTTGCGCAGCAATGGATTGCAAACTACCAAGAAGACAACATAGATAAGTTTTCTCTCACATTTTCTCACCCTAGAAACTCCCAAGTCTTCGTCGAAAACTGTCTCAAGTTTTCTCTTGCTCGCCATGTCAAACACATGGGGCTTGATTTCTCTGAACCTACCTGGGATTTATCTGATCCTGGCGACAACCCTCATCCGGTGTCGTTTGATCTGCCTTCCCAGGTCTACAGTCATCATGTTCTTGAGTCTTTAACTCTTTCTTCCTGCAATTTTGTTGTCTCTGAGTTCAAGAACTTTAGGTTCCTTAAACATGTTTCGTTGGCTTGGGTTGAACTTATGGCTTCAACTGTCAAGGCTCTGTTAGTTAACTGCGGGCTGCTTGACAGTCTAAACCTAAAGCAGTGTTGGAACATGAACAGCGTTGACGTCTGTGGACAGGACTTAAAGCTAACCTCTTTGGTTGTCGATAGGTGCATGTGTTCGGGTTATCAGAGGATTTCAATTGAAGCACCAAACCTAAAATATTTGAGGTTTGCTGGCTTTGTGCCCATATTTGATGTGAACACAGCTGGAGGCTTGGAAGAAGTTGACCTTGATTTTGGTCTTGCTTCTATATGTGATGAAGATAGTGGTTATCTTCTCTATGACCTCCTGTGTGAAGTTTACCCTTCGAGGGCTTTGACTGTGTGCAGTTACACGCTTCAGGTACTCAATTTCACCATTCATAACCATTTCATTTTCAGGTTTACATAACGAGTTTTTCATCGTTATAATTTGTTCTTATTAATTATTATGTGTTGATTGTTTGCAGGCTGTTACCATGGGACCGGAGCCAATTGGTATGGAACCGCGTTTGAGCGTCACAGACTTGACCTTAAAGACTGCAATGCATTTCAATGAACAAAAGGGGATCAAGTTTTTCTTGACTAGTTGTCCTCTATTGGAGACTCTCACCATCGACATACGCCTCGGGACAATTTTTCTCCATGTGGGTATATCTAACTCATTAATTAATTAGTAATTAGTCTTTTAATTAACTTATGTCATCAAAATTATATCTTGAAGGAAGATGAGGCTCCATTTCATGAACTCAACCGTTGTGATGTTTGGATCGAAAACCCGATAGTTAACTCGTGCATAATCCGAACTCTGAGAGAGGTGGAGATCAAGGGCTTCAAGGGGACACCAAATGAGTTCTATTTGCTGGCCTATCTGGTCCTCCATGGTCGTGTCATGCAGAAGCTTACTGTGGTTACCTCAAGGGAAATCAGCAACCATGGAAACCCTGCAGTGTACCGAAGTGTAGCTGAGAAACTGTATGCATTGAGACGTGCCTCACAGCATCTGCAAATCACCATTTTTTAGAGAGAAATAACAAAATCCGATGGATGTTTTAATTATTTTCATGTGCATTTGAAGTTCGAAACTCATGTAGGCACAGTACTATTACTCAATTCTTATTTTAGTCCCTCACTTTGGATTTGAATTTTATAGTCTTCGAACGTTTATACTCTCACAACGACGCCGTCAATCTCAACTTGTGCATAATGAATTAAATTATGAGTACCCATTAATCTATCTACATATACAGGAACGTTAAGGTTGCCACATCTTGACCCAAAAAAAAGGACATTGTTGTCACATCATTTATATAACCTGAAAGTTTGTTAAATTTTCATGTTGCACAATCACAAGCTAGCCCCAACTTGAGGTTAAGGACTGACTGTTCATTGCCATCAATCATCTCCACTTTTCTGCTGTCCAGGCTCTGATAGTGAACTGTGGGTTACTTAAAAGTCTGAGTTTGAAAAAATGGAACTGTCTTTTAGTTTGTGAAAAAGGACATAGAGCTAAGAATCCTGGTGGTTGATAGAGTAGGCCTGTTTATTGGTCTTCCACATTCAATGAAGGCAGTAAATTTGAGGTATTATTTCAATGTTGGCAGTTTCCCCACAAATGTAGACAAACATTGAAGACTTGGGAGGATGTGAATCTTGACTTTGGGAGGATAATTGTCATAAGATAATGGGTGATGCTCTCTCTTCTCTCTAAACTTTGCCTCATCAGGCATTGAAAGTTTGCTCTTACATGCTTCAGTTAATTTCCCTCTTATTCAACTTTTCATTTATAAGTTTATTGTAAACTTATATGCCAATCGGTCCAATCCAGTGGAAAAAGACCTTGACTTGCTGACTAGTGGTTTCATGTTCGAACCTTCATTCCTTACTTGTACTTTAAAAACAAAAAAACAAAAACTTACACTGAAGGTGTGTCCAATATCAATTTTATCAATTCATAGCAGTTTTTTTTGTCTGTTGTGTGTTCAAAAGTGATGTACTTGAAATACCAATTCAAACATGAGGAGTATATTTGTAAGCATATATGTTTTGCATTGTGGGGTATGTGTGTGAAATCTGCTCTGTATGGGAAAGTTAGAAAACCAAAATAAAATACATCATAAGTCAGGCAAACAGAATACACATACACACACATTATATATATATTCCATTAATTCTTGGCTCATCTGGATGGGTCTGGCTTGAGTGGAAATCTACATTTCACTAAAGGACTTGACATAAGGTAAAGTAACAACATGCTGCTTTCAGTGCCAGAAAGCATTGGGCAAATCAGAACAAACCTCTTTTTTCAAATTTTCTTCAAACTTAATGATTTGGGACTGTAGAACCTTATCGGCTAACTGTTGTTCTACACATTTGAACCTGATTTCTTCTTTTAAAAATTTAACTTGTTTGCTTTTACTTTGGATTAGGCAAACAGACTTAGAAACTGTAGACTTTTGGAGGGACTTAAGGTTGTGTAACTCAGGCTTAGTTAAAAATTCAAACTTTACTTTTTCACCGAGGTGACTAGACGTGACTCCATCATACTCTACCTAAAAGGGGTAAAGCAGAGAAATAAAGGGTAATATTAAAATAACTTCATCCGTGATATTTCTGATCAGGACAAAGGACGTCTTAAAACAAATCTTATTTTGGCAGACATGGGCTTTGGGTAATTCAAAATTTAATTGTAAGGGCTTACCAGACGCTATACCTAACGTTTCTTTGGATTTATGGTAAAACTTAGTGGGAACTAAACCTTCCTGAATGCAGTTAAGGTCGGCTCCTGAATCAAATAAGGCAACTGTGGTTAACTTAAAATCATTAATGAAAATACTAACTTTTGCATACCATTTTCTGAAATTAATATGCTTAATTAGTTTTACTACTTTGGCATCATTATCTGGGGGCTCAAATTCTTTCTCGGTTTCAGACTTAGTTTCAGAGGATTCTAGTTCAGACTCAGGTTGGGCTTTTGGCTCGAATTTCTCCATAAGACTTATTAAGTCCTGCTTAATTTCATAGTTTTCAGACTGTAACTTTTGGCTAATTTGCTTAAGTTCAACTAACTCTTTTTTCACATTTTTGACTTCTAGTTGCAAATCCTGAAGGGTGACTTCTTTCTTCTTACTAAATCGTTCCAAGGTGGTAGTAAGACTTATCTTAGGGGGTGTGTGTGAACTAGAATCTTCAAGGCTTATGACTTTTCTAAATTTTTTCAAATATTCAGACTTTAACTCTGGGTTTTCGACCTTGCTTATTAAATCAATTAATAATTCTTCTTGTTCTTCCTATTTAGTGAGTCCATAAGGCTTATTAAGTCTTGCTTAATCTCATAGTTTTTAGACTGTAACTTTTGGCTAATTTGCTTAAGTTCAACTAACTCTTTTTTCACATTTTTGACTTCTAGTTGCAAATCCTGAAGGGTGACTTCTTTCTTCTTACTAAATCGTTCCAAGGTGGTAGTAAGACTTATCTTAGGGGGTGTGTGTGAACTAGAATCTTCAAGGCTTATGACTTTTCTAAATTTTTTCAAATATTCAGACTTTAACTCTGGGTTTTCGACCTTGCTTATTAAATCAATTAATAATTCTTCTTGTTCTTCCTATTTAGTGAGAACACAAACACATTTGCTTAAGACCTTACAACACTTATCTTTACATCCTAGTTGGATGGTAGGTGAACTAGATTGGGAATTTTCAGAACTGGAGGCATCTGAGCTGGTTTGAGACATTGGGTCAGACTCAGAATTATCTAGCTCAAGGACTTTAATTAATTTGGCTTCATCTTCGGATGCTAGCTTTAATTGTTTAATCATATCTTTCACATTACACTCATTAGCATAGTGTCTGAATCTTTTGCATTTGAAACACTTCACTTTTCTTTTGTCGGACTCTCTCCTAGAGTGACCTTTTCTTTTGTTTTGTCAGGAATCTTTTGACCATTTTGGCTAGGGGAAAAACTTTCTTTTGCTATAGAACTCATTATTATCCTTGAAAGAATTTCTTCTTCGAGAATAATATTGGCTTTTACGGAAACGCTTATCATGGCATTTCTTCTTTAGTCTAGACGGTGGTAAAGGTGCTAGACCATACTGTTCACAAAAGTTTCCTAGCTCATATTTGGCATTATTTCTAGCAGCTTAGACAAACTTACTTATTTTCAAATCAACACACATTTTCATACCTACTTGGTTAATTGTGCTAATAATATTACCGTAGGTTAACTCATCACAGTTTATCTGACCAGACTCATTACTTAAGACTGTTCGAATCTTATGGGCAAATAGGTTGGGAAGACCGTTAATAAACTTTTCTTTCCAAAAGGCTTGGTTACTATCATTTCTAAGCATAACTCTGGAGATAAAACATCTTTGTACCATCTGAAATCACTTAATTTAGGGCATCTGAGGTTGCTTAGTTGATCATGAATTCTAGCAGTTGTGTTACTGGGGGTACCAATAAAATGCTCAATTATGGTATAAAGTAGAGTGTTAACTCCATCTTCAATACCGGCTCCTATGCTTTGATCAAAAATAGGGTAGCCATATGGGTTAAGCTTAAGGGCATGGATGATCTCAGACTTAGTTGTTTCTGTTAAATGCTTATCCCACCAAGAACGAAGTGTTCCAGTAAAACCAGTTTCTAACAGAGGAACTATCTCATATTAGCGTAGGTTATGGTTAGAAATGTAACTATTGGCAACCATAGACATATGTTGGAGCTTATTGATGATTTCTTGCTCGGATAACCATCGATATTCCACTCGTATAGTTTATCAGAGGACACAGAAAATTGGTTTTGGGTTCTTTCTTCGAATTGAAGATCGGGAGGTGTAGGCTTAGGGTACCAGTTTTTTGTAAGATTTGTTGGATTAACTTTTCCTCGTAGTCGGCTTAGCTTAAGATTTTGGGTTTCTCTTAAATCAAAGTTCTTAAAGGCTTTTTCAATCTTAGAGATGCTACTAGTGTCAGACTTAGGATTAGAGACAGATTCTAAAGACATGGTTGACTCATTATCAGACGAATTAACTTCAAATTGTCTGACTTTAACTCCTGAGGATTCTGGGTCTAGTTCAAGCTTTTTCTTAACTGGAGTTAATATATTGAGCATGTCTTCTATCTTTCTCAAAGTTGGGCTCTGTTTGAGCACATAATTAGGCTTTAGATCTTGGAATTGGACTAAGGGTTTTTCTTTCTTAGGCTTAAGGGAAATTTCCTGGGGAGCTAATCTATCAACTTTTGTGTCAATCTTGTCTAATTGTTTTCCTATTACTATTAGGCTTTGATTGGTGTAATTATTCTGCTCAATAATTCTTTTGTCGCTATCCTTAGGGTCAGTAACTTTATACGGACTGGCAACTACTCTGGCATTCTTGTGACTTATTACTATTGTTTCGACCGGAGGGTGGGTAGAAATGACTTTAGTGGCATCTTCTTTTTCCCATTTTTCTTGTGTTAAAGTTGTTAACATTTGACTCATGTAATGACTTTCTACATAATCAAGGTAAAAGGCTGACTTGGTGTTTTTCATGAAATCTTTTCATTCATTGAAAATTTCTTTTCGTTGGTCTTTGGGGAAAGCTGCATGATACCTGGCTTTTCTAATTGCATTCTAGGGAGCTTGAAAATGGGTTTCTAACTTAGACCACTTAATAAGAAAAGGTTTGGTCAAGGTTCTTAATTGATTGTCGACTTCAAGGTGGAACCTTCAAAATCTGTCTGAGTTAAAGACTCAGGGGACTTAGGTTTTTCTTCCACGGGGTCTTTGCCATAGCAGGGTTGGACTATTTGCGCTTTTTTTCTTAGTGTGTCTAATTTGTAATCAATTAAGGCTTTTTCAATTTCTAAATCCCTTTCCATTGTAGAGGAGGACTCTGCAGAGGAATGTCTTGCAGGTTGCTTAAAAGATTGACTTGGTGTAGGTAACTGCTCAAGTTGAACCGTAGACTTCATCAGAGGTTGGTTACCAAAACTAATCTTAATTGTACCATTTAAATATTATTCAATGTAGTCTAAATTGTTTAAACTATGTTGAACAAGCATCAGAGGACTTTCAGTTGTTAAGAACCAATCTGTTGGTAACTTAACATCTGACCACTTA